AGGTAACCTAAACTCTAAGCTAAACTCAAGTCTAAGCTCAGCTCAACTCTAAGGTAAACTAAAGTCTAAGATAAGATAAAATCAAAGCTAACATAAAGTCTAAGATACCCAAAAGACCAAGGAAAACAAACTTCCAAGGTAAGCAAAACTGCAAGGTAACCAAAAGCATAAGGATATCCAAAGTCTAAAGTAACCAAAAGACCAAGGTAACTGAAAGTCCAAGGTATCCAAAAGTATAAGGTAACCAAAAGCCTAAGGTAAACAAAGGTTTAAGATAACCAAATGTCTAAGGTAAATAAAAGTCTAAGGTAACGAAAGGTCTAAGGTAACCAAAGGTCCAAGGTAAACAAAAGTCCAAGGTTACCAAAGGTCTAAAGTAACCAAAAGTCTAATGCAACCAAAACTCCAAGGTAAACAAAAGAGAAAGGTAACCAAAGGTGTAAGGTAACCAAAAGCCTAAGGTAAACAAATGTGCAAGGTAACCAAAAATCGAAGTTAACCAAAAGTCCAAGGGTAACCAGAAGTCCAAGTTATCCAGAAGTTCAACGGTAACCAGAAGTGCAAGGTAACCAAAAGTCCAAGGTAACCAAAAGTCCAAGGCAACCAAAAGTCCAAAGTAACCAAAAGTCTAAGGTAACCAAAAGTCTAAGGTAACCAAAAGACCAAGGTAACCAAAGGTCCAAGGTAACCAAAAGTCCAAGATAACCAAAAGTATAAGGTAACCAAAATTCTAAGCTGATGTAAACTGAGATAAAGGAACTTTATTTATAAATAAATAAAGTACTCTTTCCACCTGTAACCTGACTTGTGTCTGCTTTGTTTCTGAATGGAATGGAATAGAATGGAATCAACAGAATGAGATGTAAGGGGATGGGATGGAATGGAACGGGATGGGATGGAATGGAATAGAATAGAACAGAATGGGATGGGGTGGGGTGGAATGGGATGGGATGGAATGCGATGAAATAGAGCAGAACAGAAGAGATATGATATGCTATGCATATAGTTCTGCATGACAAGTTGTGACCTGGGTCTGAGAGGCTATCTGCAGGGCAGGTCCCAAGGGAGGCTGGGCCTGGGCATTGAGGCCTACGAGCACCCTCTGGACCCTGACAGAAGTACACTTGTGCTCCTCATATACTCTCCTTCACACTTGCATGGGGTGCCACTGGAGAGAGAGTATTGGGCCAGAGGTACTCGGGACGGAGCGCTGCTCTTTTCAGGCTCTTGTGTTCGATTCTGTTTCTCCAAAAGAAACAAATCAGGCAATTTTAAAACCCAGCATTTGGGGGAAGGGTGGGGTTGGGAGTGGGGGGAAATCACAAGGAAATGAGCAGCTACTGCCCACGTAAAGAAGATGCCATGAGGGACAGCAGCAAATGCCTCACTGAAACGTGGAAAAATTATATCTGCCACCATCCCTTCACTCCCTAGGCTGGTGACCTTATCACAGAAGGAGCTCGAATTAGCTGAACAGGACTTGCCCTGTGTGAACCCATGCTGTCGGTGCCTGGTGATCACACTGAGTTGCGTGTCAGTTTTACATTTCCACAGTAAAGGGCATGTTGTAATGAACTAAGTGAGGACTAACGATTCTACCAGAACCCACAGTCCACTGCACTGTAATTTGGGGTGTTGAGTTCAGTGGATTTGCTTACCATCGACATTAACAGACACACACTTGTGAGACTAGAAAGGAGAAATTTTTCTGTAAATGACCGCGAGTACAGACCTGACACTGGGGCCCGTGAATGGATGTGCCAGCCTGCGCTGAAGGACACCAGTGCTTTGCCCATCAGAGCAAAACTCGTCAGTACTTCCCTTTCTCGAGCATGCGATGTGTTGCTGTAACACAGAGAAGAGATTTCAATCCATTGCCTCCATTCCCCCACGCCCCTGCTCTTCTCCCATCTAGAGAGGTCACTATTTCTTGATGCTTTCCTTCTGGAGCGCACCCTTCCCGTTTGGTGCCAGCTCAGGACACCGTGTGAACTGGCATCAAGCTCTCCCTGCACAGCTTCTCCTGTTTCCTGCCTTCACTTCGGAAAGCTTTTGCAACAGCATCGCTGCTGCAGTTCCCTCCAGCTCATCTCCCTCTGCCTGGGCTGCAGCTCCGGTATTTCACACCGGTGTCCTCAGCACACACCCTCCATTGCACTTACCAGGACTGCTGTGATGGGAGGAGTTATTTGCACTAGCCCAGGAGATAGGTAGAGAGAGACAGAGATGTAGAGAGATAGAGATGCTATAGCTATAGCTGAGCTAGAGAAGGGAGTGTTTCTATTTGTGTATATTGTGTTTTCCTTGTTTCCAAGAGGTGCTTACGCTCACTTTCTACCAGAACAGGGCAGAGGCAGCAGCATTTTCTACTAGTGCATGTGAAAAACAAAGGTGTTTGGCCTAAAAGAACAGTTTGCTCAGAAAGACACAAAATTCCCTCATTTCAGACAGGAACACAGCTGGGGCTGTCTTCTGCAGCCTGCACCAGCATCTCCAGTAACAAACTCGGTGACTTTCCCTTTTCCCACCCCGGCAGACCACTCCAGAAATGAGCCTATGGGAGAGAGACCAGCGCTCATCCTGCATGTCAAGGATCTGAACAAATGTGCTGGGGGGATTTGTTGCCACTCTCAATCTCTGCCCTCCACACAATGCCCTTACGTGATGCTTAAGTGTCCGACAGTACTGAGTCACTTACTTGTTTTGCCTGAGCGCTGCAGGGAGAAGCTGCTCAGTCCACGCAGTTCAAACCAAACTGGGATCAAAACACCTGACGGAGCTATTGAGAACATGGAATTAGGCAGCAGGCAGTGAAGTGTTGCATTCTAGTAGTAATACCAGAGGTAAACCCCCAAGCTGGACACATGAATGTTACTAAACACAAGCAAATATCTAAGCACCCTGTGTAGGAAATGTAGAAGAGATTCCTGAAGTTCTTCTTCTTTTTCCCAAGAAGAAGACCTCACCAGCAGAAGCACAGCAGCAAACACCACGTGGTGCATTGACAAGGAACAGTGAGGAAATCCTGTCTGCTCTTTGCGTTTTGGCAAAGTTCAAGCAGAAGGAACCAAAACCCCGTTCTTGCACCTCGGGGATCGCCATGATCAAAAGACTGCGCGTGGTATAAAAGCCTTTATTGATGCAGCCTGAACACACAGATGCGGTTACAGGGACACCCCGCAGCGGTGCCCGGTGCGTGGCTGCCATGGGCAGAGCCATCCCCCTGGGCCTCCTGGGCACAGGCACTGCCGCAGGGCCAGCAGCCCAACGGCCTTTCTGCAAGGCATGCTGGGAGAAGGGGCAGCAGCAGCAGGGCTGCAGTGGGAGGGGCAGGGGTGCGGGGGCCCCATTTCCCCTCGTGTCATGGTGCCAGCACTCACCAACGCGGCATCATTAACCATTAAGTCTAGGTAACCAAAACTCCAAGTTAACCAAAAGACCAAGGTAACAAAAAGTCCAAGGTAACCAAAACTCCAAGGTAACCAAAGGTTAAAGGTAACCAAAAGTCTAAGGTAGCCAAAGCTCCAAGGTAACCAAAGGTCTAAGGTAACCAAAGGTCTAATGTAACCAAAGGTCTAAGGTAACCAAAAGACCAAGGTAACCAAAAGACCAAGGTAACCAAAACTCCAAGTTAACCAAAAGTCTAAGGTAAGCTAATGTCTCAGCTAAGCTGAAGGTTTAAGGTAACCTAAACTCTAAGCTAAGCTAATGTCTAAGCTAAGCTAAAGTCTAAGATAAGCTGAAGTCTATGCTAAACTAAAGCCTAAATTAACCAGAAATTTAAGGTAACCAAAAGACCAAGGTATCCTCAAGGCTAAGGTAACCAAAGATCTAAGGTAACCAAAATTCTAAGCTAAGCTGAAGTCGGAAGTAACCTGAAGTGTAAGTTAAGCTAAAGTCTAGGGTAACCCGAAGTCTAAGCTAAGATAGAGTCTATGGTAACCTGAAGTCTAAGCTATGCTAGAATCTAAGATATCTAAAAGTGTAAAGTAACCTAAAGTCTAAGCTAAGCTAAAGTCTCAGGTAACCTCCCTTCTAATGAAACCTGTAGTCTAAAGCAACCAAAAGTCTAAGCTAAGCTAAAGTCTGAGCTGAGCTAGAGTCTAAGGTGACCTAAAATGTAAGGTAACCTGGTATCTAATATAATCTTAATTCTATGGAATAGTCATAGAATCATAGAATAGTCAGGGTTGGAAGGACCTTAGGATCATTTAGTTCCACCTCCCCTGCCATGGGCAGGGACACCACACACTAAACCATGTCACCCATGACTGCCCAACCTGGCCTTGAACATTACCAGGGAGAACGGAACAGAATAGAACACTAGAGCTATATGTTACGCATATAGTTCTGCGTGAGAAGCTGTGACCTAGGTCTGAGGGGCTATCTGCAGTGCAGGTCCCAGGGGAGGCCAGTCTACTGAAAGACTGTGCCCCTGCAGCAAATGGAAGTCTATGAGGAGCAGGTATATACCTTGAGCCCCTGTAGGACCCCACCAGCCGTTCAGCCAGGGTCAACCCACCACAACGACGAAGCCAGTCAGAAGCTCCAACGCCTATGTGCTGACTAGGCAAAAGCAGTACGCCATGCTGCCCGGGACCTGCGTCCCCGCAGTCTCGCACCACGAACCGGACCCTCCACCCACCTCAGCGGCGACACAGGAAGGGGAGGCCGCAGCGGGCACGCGCAGCGGAGGAGGGCTGGAAGGAAACTCTCCCCAAAGGCGCCGCTAGCCGACGACGCAGCTCCCCACCGCCCCGCCGCCCCAATGAGCAGCCCAAAAGCCTGCCCGGCCCCCTACCAGCCCCGTTCCGCGCACCGGGCGTGGGGAAAGAGTCCGCCCCCATCCGTCACTGGGCCGGGGGCGGGGCGGGCCGGCCGCGGGGAGGTGGCTTTGTGCTCCCATTGGCTGGGCTCCGCCAAGGGGAGTCTATGGTTGGCTGCGGCAGCTGCCGCTCGCAGCGCTCTGGCGGTGGCGGACGGTGGCGGGCGGAGGCGGCGGGCTGGGAGGTGCCGGGGCGGGTGGTGCTGGCCGGAGGTCACTCGGCGCGGGGCGCAGCATGGCCGCGGCTGTGGTGCGCGGGCGACCTGCGGGCTGGTGGCGCTGGCACAGGCGGGTAGCGGCGATGGGTAAGGACCCCTCCCCTCGGCACCAGCGGGTCCGCTCTGACCGCCGGGCGGTTGTTGTCGGGCGGGGAAAAGCCGGGCCTTCGGCCGGGGAGCGCTGCTGCTGCGCTGCCCTAGGTGGCCACGGGCCCTCTGCACCCCGGGGCCCGATGCAGCGGTCGGCCCCGCGGCTGGCGGGCCCCGGAGCCGCCTGGCTGTGCAGGACGCCCGGGAACGGACCCCACGGGGCAGCACTGGGGGTTGTCAGTGTCCCGGCGCGCTCCCGGGAAGCGGCCCCCGCTGCTGCGTTATGTGGGGCCGTGTTGGAACATCGGAGTGGCTCGGCTCAGTAAATGTTTTCATTCACTTGCTTAAAATAGCATGCCTGGAAATTACCGGAGCCCACGAGTGGTTCCTGTGGCACCAGTGACGTGTTGGCAGTACCTGTTACCTAGATTTGGGGTGTTTGATCATCTCGATCATTGTATATGATTATTTTCCTTAAATTGAAGGTAAATCAAGCAGCACTTCCCGCTGTTCCAACTCCACAGGCAGTCATTCGCATATATGGTTGGTTCACAGGCAGTGGAAGGAGCAAACACATTTAAATGTCCTGTCAGTGTACGTGAAGGAAGAATACATTTGTAGAACTGGACCTAGATGTTTTCCTTTTTCAGAGTCCTGAAAATCATGCTATTGTTTTTTATCACTGTTTCCATTGCTGAAGCAAATGATTGAAAATATACCTTTAGTAGCCTTTTCAATAAAATTTTGATAGCAGCCTGTGATTCATGTATGCTACTGTATAGTTGGGCTCCACGACAAATAGGTGAAAGCTTTTCAAGTAGCAAAGAGGAGGAAATATGTAATTTTAATGGTATATGGTTCTAAAATATTGACACTTTAAAAAGTGTTTCAAAAATTACTCACTTTTAAGTAACTTTTAAGCATTTGTAATTCTTTAAACCTCATTTAGACTGATCAGTGAAAAGTGTTTGACACAATTTTGAAATTAGCTTTCAGTGTTATCTCTGCTTGACTCTTTCTCAGCAACACATGATTTTTACGGGTTTTTTTGCAGTTGCAGCTCTGGTGTTGTGCTAAGTAGTAGGTCAGGTGCAATAGGCATATTGGTCACATGCTAGTAAAGTTAAATATAAGAGACCTGTTTGTGTATTTAGTACCGTCTGCGATAACACAGTTCAAATCAATAGCTTTCAATGTATTTTGAACTTACAGTGCATGGTAGCTGGTGGAATTTTCTGTAAGAGCTTTGAAATACACTGTCTTTGTCAATATCCCAATGGTCATATTTAATGTAGAGAAGATGGAAGATATCTTGGTTTTTGGTGGTAAGCGCAGGTGTGAGAAGCAACAAAAAACATTACACTACTAGCCCTAAAAGTTGAAAAATACAGTTTGTCCTTGCCTGAAGACCTGAGAGAGAAACTGTGAGTCTAAGCAGAAATTATGACTTTCCCAAGAAACTTCCATAGAACAGAACTTCACCCACAGTATTTATCTTCTGGCTTAGTAGTGACTGCTGAAAGTCCTGTTGGCTCTGACAAGTGTTTATGGGATGAAGGTCTAAGCATTAAGACTTCTTAACTGCTAAGCTCTACTGCTTAGTTATATGTCGAGGTTTCCCCATCTCTGATGCGCTTATGAAGCTTGCCGTCCTTTAGTTTTGAATAGCCTAAAAGTTGTCTTTAGATCAGTGTTTTCTTCACCTGTCATTCTGAGTGAAACGCCATCCTAGTGAAAGAACTCTGCCAGATCCGAGAGCTGTCCAACACCACAACTTGGTTAGTGAACAGATTATCTTCATTCACTTATGAATGCTCCTCAATTTCTTGTCAGTTGCTCTTTGCAGCTCGTGCAGACAATGATGGTTTGTTTCTTCTGTATGATTATGCTAGAGACTGTTAAATCGTCAAGGAGGAAAGTAACAGAATGCAGATTTTGGAGAAGCATCTAAAGTGTGTATATTCATGTACTATCAAGTTAGACAGAGGCCTTGTATTGTGATTTGCAGTTGGCAGTCACTGGCAAATGTGCTTCATGGAGAGGGTGTATATGACCTTACTTGGAAATACGTTTTTGGTGGATGTGGAAAAATCCTTCCTAGGGACTATTAGAGGGGATAAAGTGGGGGTTAATGAGGTATTGTGGCTGAGAAAGGATGATTTTTCTGGTGAATGAAGATTCATCAACTTAGGAGCTGTTCATCAGAGGAGACAGTACCCTGCTAGAGAAAGAAAATGTCTTTACAAGTAATTTTGAATGAATAGTAAGGGCCCATTCAGTTAATAGCTAAATAGTACTTTTGTTGGTGCAGGAGCTGTGTTTGAACTGTCAAATGTTTGCATGCTCTGTTGCACAGAAGCGTTAATTACAAAGCAAGGATTATGACAGACCTGCCATGACAGAAGTCAAACACATTACTAAATGGAGGGATCAAGTGTGGTGTACACTTGATACTCTTTTAGACGAAAAGTACTTCCTACATGTTTTTGTCCTTAATGTATTAGCAAACACTTAATGAGGTATAGCTACAGATAAGAAAAATGAGGTAAGAAGACTCTGACTGTTGCAGGATTGCATGTCTGGTTTTCATCAGCAGACCTTTACGGAGGCAATGAAAAATAAATTGGATGTTTTTGGTGTAAAGCTGGCCAAATTTTGAGTCGGATAATCTTCTTAAATTATGATTTTGGCAGAGTGCAGTTCTGAAAATCATTGCATAACCTTTAAAAGCCTGTGACCCTGGGGCAACTTAAATTCCATTGGCAAAGCTGCTAGGAGCAGAAAGACCTAATTCTGCCTGTGTACAGCTGGCCTCTCTTAACTTCTATATTTCTCCATCTGGTTCCCTCCAGAATCTAGATCAGTAGAGGTTTTGTAAGTTTCTCTAGAGAGGTGTGCAAAGAACACAGAAGCTCTCTCTTCATTTTTTTCAAAACAGGAAGAAGAAAAGGGATCATGTCTTCTCTTGTACCAGACTGAGGATGCTAAATCAGTGTCAAAATCCTTTGTTTAGTGGCTTATATTGAATTGTGTCCCTCTCCTTGTTAAGTTACTTCGTATGCAACTGTACTTCCTGAGCAAAACAAGTGACATCAGTAGCTGAGCTTCCTCTGTGAATCTTCCCTTGCTCCTGTTAAACCTCTCCGACTGGGTTGGGAAAGAGCTCAAGTTTGACTGATGCAGAGAGATCAAGAATATTAATGCAACTTTGATTAGGAAATTTGTATGGGGCAGGAATGTGTGGGCTATTCTCTCTTGTTCCAGATTTATTAGTTTCATTTGACTGTGGGGCTATGGATTCTATCCCAAGAGCTAGAAATTTTGGGGAACGTGGTTCAAAATAGATTTTATAAAGCCAAAAAGTAAGTAATATAGTTGAGATTACAATTTGAGAGTTGCTGGTTTCTCAGTCCTGTCCTTGGCTGGTTAGGCTGTGCTTTCCCTCTGAGTACAAGCATGTTGGACCTTCTCCAGCTCTACTGTCTGTGGTCCTATCCAGCTGTTAGTTCCATTTTGTTTAAATACGAAGAGATTTCCTCTGCACTGCATATTGTAGTGGCTGTGCAGTGTGGTATTTGCAGTGAATTCAAGGCACCACTGGAGCTGAAATTTCTTCTCAGAACTGTAAGAGTCATTAGGTTGGGAGACAGTGTAAAATGAAAGGTAAACACCTAAACTTGTAACTGTAATCGTTCAGATTAAAAAGATAATTGTTTTGAGTATCTTTATGTAGAAGCTTGAAAAGACAAGTTTTAGGTCATCGACAGGCCAGGTATTCTATGGTCAAGATTGCAAACTGTGCATTCCTGAATTTGCTCTCTTAATGGATATGTTCTATTCAAGAAGAGACATTCAAAGATTCATAAACACTTCATGATTTTTTTAATCAAATTATTTTTAAGGTAAAATTCTTATGAAATTGTAGATTAGTTCAACTGCTACTACTGTAGGCTGACTTTTCAAAGCAAAACATTTTAATCTATATTGTCTATGGCAAGAGGGTCAAATTAATTCTCCTCATCAATGGAGTCTCCATAGTCATGGGGCTCTGTGAGCACATCTTCCTTCAAGAGTATAATGAAGAATCTCCTGGGGAAAGCGAAATTCTTTGGAGTCAGTGTAGCTGTAGCTGGTTTTGCGGTCTATTAACTTGATCTATAGATTAATCTGTTTTGCTGGTTCTGTTTCCAGTGGAGGAGAATTAGTTGCACATTGTATTAGTGCTTATTTTGAAAGTACCTTCTGTTGCTTCTCTGTCCTCTGTTAGAAATTGAATGTGCACTGGGCATTTTTCCAGCCATGTAATTGCAGCAGGTTACTGTAAATTTTATGGTTGAAGTAAAATGGACTCAATGCCACAGGGACAGTTTCTGGAAATGCTTGTACAATTGATGGGATTAGTTAAGCCTATGTGTACGTGGCTTTGCAGAATACCAATGTTTGAATTATACATTTATTTCAAAACTGACCTGTGCCATTTATGAAATGGCGAACAGTGCCTGGATATTCAAGCTGGACATCACTTTCCGTGATAGCACCTGTAGAGTTTCATTTAATATGAAGATGTGAAAAATCATGTCTTCTTAAACATCCTCTGTTTGGCAAATGCCCACTGTCTTAAGAAGTAATTAAAAAATATGCCATGATTCTAAATGCAGTTGATTCAAATTTAATTGAAATCGGGTATATCTGTGAGCTAATTTCGTCAGTCTTTGAAAGCAGTTTTTTTCTATTTGAGTAACTGGGGATCTGAAGTTTCTTCAAAGCTGTTTATGGAATTATATAATTGTAAAGTGTCTAATTTAACACTGGGCTGTGAAAAGTTAAACTACACTAAGAAGTCAGAAACCAAGTCAGGAATAGGACTATTTCTCTTACAGGTCCCAATTCCTGTGGATTTCAATATGTTTTAGTTAGCACAGACAAAAATTGGTCCCTGATTCATGAACTAACACGAGAGAATCAACAGAGACAGACAAAGGGGAAAATAATAGAATACAGTGACTCAAAACTAATAATACCAACAGCATGTTGCCCTGTATTCTAGCTTAGCTGTTGCTGTGCCTTGTGGGGATACTGCAAAATTATGATTTTTAAGGAAAGTCTTACAGTAGAAGAATGAGTTGGTTTCATGGATATTTACACTGTGAACAGCTGCCTGAGAGAAGTAATAGAAATACTTGTTGGCAATAGGCCTGTTATTGCAGTCCGATTACCAGTTGATGGCTTCATAGTAAAATGTGATGATAGCCATGAAAAGTTGTCAAAGCAAAGTAGTCTTAGGTGACATAATAGAGAAAAGTATGGCAGGATGCAAAGAAGGAACAACAGAAAGTAGCATGGGTAAAATGTCCTTCTGAATTCCCAATATTTCCATGAAGATCAAGGCAAGATTATTTCTATTAAGTTGACCCAGATGACCATGTTCTGAAGTAGCTGAGATCTCAGATACGATGAAAGAGGAATTGATCAAATTTAAGCAGATCATGGATGGGTCTTCTAAGCTTTAGGTGTGAGTGACAGGCATCACTGCTGGTGTTCTGATACAGAAAAAAGGTATCAAGAAAGTTTTCTGAAGATGATGAAGAGATTTTGTGATGTTTAGCTTGAGATGATGGTTAGATGTCTATGAGATAGTATGAGGAAAGAAGTGGTCAGGATAAAAGTGAAGAGTGTACAAGAATGAGCCTAGACATGGTAGTCAGATTTATGCTTCTGATAAGGTTACTTGAAATTCACAAAGAAGACTGAGGTTTCGAAGCAAGGCTATCTTTAAAGCTAGGCCAGGTTGCTGTGGGTGCTCCAAGGTTACTCTAAGGATGTAGGTTCCGCCACTTCTCTGTGCAGCCTGTTGTAGTGCAGAACCTTTCTCCTCATCAGGGATGCTTTTCTTATTTCCAACTGGAATTTCCCTTCCTGCAGCTTCTGGCTGTTGCCCCATGTTGTATTGTTGTGCACCTCTATGAAGAATCTGGCTTCATTTGCCCTGTAACTCTTCTTTCCTCTCACTCTATATGTTGTAAAGACTGCAGTTAGCCTTTGCTTAAACAAGATAAGCAGACAGTTCCCTTAACCTCTGGTCATACACCATATCATCCAGCTCTTTGCTCATAATACTTGATATCTGCTGGGCTGTCTGCAGTTTGACCACATCTCGTGTGTATTGTGCTGTGTAGGGTGGAATCACCAATTTCTTTGACTTGTTCAGTATGTCCTTGCTAATGTTGCATGTTATGTCATTTATCTTTTGCTGCATGGATGCACTACTTACTCAACTTGCTCTCTATGGGAATCCACAGGTTCTGCAGAGCTGCAACCTGTGTAGCCAGTCCTCAGCTTGCCATGACATCTGCTGCCCCAAGCACAGGGCATTGTATTTGTGTTGTTGAACTTCTTAAGGCCTGTGTCCTCAACCTTTCTGAATGGTAGTCCTGCCCTGCAGTTTTTCAGCTATTCCCCCCATTTGGGTGGCACATGTGATCTTGCTGAGGGTGCTTATGTCCTGTCACCAGAGTCACTGATGAAGTTTTTAAACAGCAGGAGTCCCAGTATTGACCCATGAGAAACATCACATATAACTGACTGTAGCTAGTCTTCGAACCACTAATTACTGTTGTTTAAGCCTAACATTCCAGATGGTATTTCATCAGTCAGTCCAGTCCAGTGCATACTTTCCACATTTGGCTAGTGGGATATTAGAGGAGACTGTTTTGAAAGCTTTGCTGAAGTCAAGGTAAATAAGATCCCCTGGTACTAAGGGGTGGAGAAAGAAAGATGCTGAAAACCAGGACTCTTCAGGAAGCTGGAACCTTTGGGCTAACAAGAGGAGTAATTTTAGAGTAGTGTGATGTACTGGGTAAGACTGACTCATAGAAACTATGAGAAGAAAAGACTCCAAGATGATTACTATGGCTCATAATGGTGGTTTAGGCTCTTAGTTCATTTGTTTCCTAGATCTAACATCTAGCACTTCTAAAAAAAGCAATGTGCTCTCTTTGTGACTTATCTCAGTTTGTACTCAGCATTTTCCCAGTGCAGTTTTCATTTAAATTGTGCTACTTCTCTAGCTATGTAATTGCTGCAGGCATCCGTGGAAACTGTCTCAGACCAAAGTTCTCTCAACAAACCTGATTTATTAAATGTGACACTTCCAGAATAGTGCTGCAGATCAAAGAGCATGGCCATTGCTGGCTAAGAAGGAGCTTGAAGTCAGAAAGACTTTAAAATGATTAATCAAGTGTTATTGGCCTAGAGAGGATTCTTTGCTAAGCATTGGGACCTCTTAAAGTCTCGATCCAGCTTAGACATATTCTCTGTATGTGCGCTTCAGTTACAGTAGTTCTGTAGTTAGTTAGCCTTCTTTCTGGCTGCTTAGATGCCACATTCCTTAGTGTTTATTCTGCATAACCTTTTCCTTTGTTGTAAAGGAGAAATTATTTTATGAATTGGCAAAGAAATCTCAGCACTGCCAAATTGCGCTAATTTGGAGTGTTGGATGTTAATTGCAGTAGATGAATACCCGCAGTGCTATTTATTGTCCAGCAGTTGATACTTGCTACTACTTGTAAAAACTGACTGAAACTGTAGCATTTTCCACAGATTGTAGGTTATGCTTTATAGTTCTCTATTGTTAGTACAGCAAATAGAATGCAGGAGTTATTCCTGTAAAGACTTCATAATACTGTGTTTATGCTATAGTTTTTTTGCTTTGCTCAAAGGATTTGCAATGGTCTATTATGAAGACTGTCACCTTGTATCTGAGTGCAGGATCAGAAGAGTTTAGTTACTATCTGTGAAGGGCAGCATGAAATAAAGTGACAGCCTTAGTCCATTTCTAGAGAAGAGGTGCTATATCCCAAGGCTGCAACCAAAGTTGCAAAGGAGTCTGTAAATTTTATATAAAATTTGATTTTCCCTATCCAGCTTAGGACTTAGACATGTAAAAAAATACAGCCAAGCCTGCATGTTTTGAGTCCGTGTTTCAGCCTTCTCAGACCTTAGCTTTCAGGGATGTTGCTGAAGTTTGATTATTACTATACTTTGTGAAACACCCACATAAACCTTTGATATGTAGAAAAACCATTCTGGGATGGTTTAAATTATGTAGAATAGGATTCACATTTCCATCTTTTTAAGCATGAAGTTGATTAAATCGGTTAAAACAGATAACATGCTAGCTTTTGTTTCAGAATTGTTACGCATTACTCTAAAATACAAATATATTGATATATATTGTTTTGAAATCAGTGTGTTCTAGGGCAATGGCTTCCAAAACCCCAGTTGGATTCATTGGGCTGGGTAACATGGGAAATCCAATGGCAAAAAACCTGTTAAAACATGGATATCCAGTTATTGCATATGATGTGTTCCCAGAAGCTTGCAAAGAATTTCAAGACTTGGGTGCTCAGGTATAGTAATAAACTTTCTTTATTTCAACAATAACTGTATGTGTTGAATGGTTCTTGCATGCAACTCAACTAAATAATCCGGGGGTTTTTCTTGGTTAATATCACAATTGGAATTAAAGCAGCATAGTGAATGCAATCAGAACCTGGGAGGCTTCACTTGTGGGCAAAAACATGATTCTAACCTAAGTAATTTTCATGCTGTTAGCCAAAATTGCTACCTTGCTGGACTTCTCTAGCTGTTTTTTCTTCCCCCTCTTTTTTATGAGAGTAGGTTGATGGCCTGTTCTGTCACCTCCTTCTTTCTCCTGCTTCCTCCTCCCCCAGGTCTAGATGTCCAGTGGGCTGCTTTTCATCTGCTTCCTACTTTGACCTTTTCAGGTTAAATGACCCTAGTTAAAAATTCCTGCTGGCGTAGCTGTAAGGGTTATAGGGACATATGAGCTTTCCCACTGCTTCAAGGTGCAGTCCTCAGGGGTAGGGGAAAAATCTAATTATTTAAGTGCTTATTCTCTTGGAGGTGAGGAAGGTTATGGTGAGAGAAGAGGAAAGAATGAAAAAGAAAAAGGAGGGAAGGAAATTGATCACATTAAGGAGCTTTGCCTTCCTGCCACATACCCTGCAAAATCTTGGCCCTGTTCCAGTCAGTGCTATTGCTTTTGTTGATCTGTTAATACACCCAGAAACCCTTTCAGTCTCTCAGATGGTTGGGTTATTTCTAGGTGTCTGAAATGTATTTGAATGTTTTTAACATGCTTCAGAGCGATAGCAGTTTAGACGATTGTGAGTGGATGGATAGGTGCATAAAACACTGAAACAAAAGAACGTACTTGCATGAGGAGAAACCAATGCAAAAATAATACTCTGATTTGACAGTGTAGAGGATGGGAAGGAATTCTCAAGCAATGGCAGGGAAATTGTAGGTAGATCTAGACAGAGGAACTGCATGCCTTGAAAGTCTAAACTGTTGAAACTTACTGCAGCTGTTTTATAATAATGAGGTAATACCAAGATTCCCAAAAGATGAAATGATAAAGTGTACCTGTTGATGATTAATTGCAGCTCCCCTTGAATAATTACAGAATCATGGCCTCAAGCAGGAAACTAAGCTTTGCAGCTTCTTTTCCTAATTACTCTTTTTATTTTGTTAAAGCAGCTGAGACCCTCAGGAATGAACCAGACCCTTCTTGAGTCAGAGACTGGGCAAATGGAAAGGAAGCCTGTTTTGAACAATTGGTTGTATTTTTAATCTGTATTCTGCAGTTGGATCTCTTTGCTGTGGCTGCCCATTTGGATAGCTTATTCCCGTAGTAATAGAATCCTTGGCATCCTATGCAAGGCGTAACATGTGATATTAAAGCTGAACTGTAGTGCTTTTAAAAATAAAGCCCAAAGTAAGTTTTAAGATCGTAAATCACTAAGAGAATACATGGGTAGGCTTAAATACAAATAAAACACACTTAAAGAAAATATGCAAACATAACTTCTTCTTTTTGATCTATAGGTGCAAATCCTACCCTGACATTTTTTTTCGAGAGTTGGAAAATTGTGGGTCCAGGGGGCCTTGTAGAAAGTGCTGTAGAAGGAATATTGGGCTCCAAGGGCTGCTTTCTCTTTAGTCTGGCTGGTAGGGTAAAATCATCAGGAGTGTTACAGAGGTGAATAGATTCCCCCCAAGAGACAGTAAAGTTGTCAGATGTTCATTTTTAAAGTCAGTGCTACTACCAAGGCATATGGAGGGTGATGTATACTTGATCATAATTCCATATATTCTGTGACTCCACTTTCTTTATCTTCTAAAGTAAAGAACTGGGAGGTAATATATGTCAGGAGGCAGCCACCTGCCTGCTGATGGTGAATAGTTACGGGAAAAACTGTCTGAGCAGGAGCATATGGAACCACTTGCGGTGAAACTTGGAGAAAGTTGCAAGGCTACAAACAAGGGTGAATACTGAACCGTGCTGTGAGCAAGTAGACTGCCTCCATGCTCTACTGTCTTTCTCCTTCCTCCTAATTATCACTTTCTTTCTCACACATGTGTCGCATAGTTGCTTTGCTTCAGTTTATGTACCTATTTGACAGTTTGAGAATGTTCCTGAAGTCATCTGGTGCATAAAGCAGCATAAAAACAGAGCTTTTTTCAGTGTATTCAGTAAGAATGGCATTTCAGGCAAGCAGAATTATTAATTGACTTATCATAAATATAAATAAAAAATTAGGAAAGCATTTTGGACAGATATAAGCAGATGCACATGGTGAAGGGCATAAACCAATGTCCAGCTGAAGAAAAGTCTCCCCTACCTAGTTGCATACTGAAAAAGTTTGCTTGAACTGGCAAGTGTCAGAACATATATGAAATTGGTGAGTATCACTTGGTGATACTCCAAGCCAGTGTGCTCTATGCTAGTAATCAGCAATTAGTATTTGGTATGTTTTTTAAAGTTACACACATATTCATAATTATTTCAAATGCTTAATGTTTCTTAATAGCTTTCAAATAATTTAACTTGATTTCTGAGAAAGAAAGTCCCAAATAAAATAAAAGAGGTTGTGTATACTGCTTGTTGAACCAGGTAAATAGGTTTCCTCTGGAATTATTAATCGTATTTGTTAACAGTACCAGAAAGGCCAAGAATGGCAATTCCACTTCAGTTCCCACTTGGTTCAATTCCCACTTGCTACTTACTTCAGGGTAGCAAAATGATTTTCCTTTGTGTGGTTGTGGAAGTACTGTCCTACTCTATGTACATTTTTAATCTCATTTTCTTCCTATAAAAGGCATGTCAGTATTTTGAAACACATGGATGGAATACATTAAAGACACAACTGTCTTTTGTATATCTCTGTTGCTTAAGAATTGTTTAAATCTGTAACCAAAAAAACAGCTATATCCTGTCTAGCCGAGTGCAAATGCTGATGTAGTTTTTAAGTTATATACTATGTTTTTCAACTTCTGGTCGAAAGGGGAAAATGGGTCACAAAGTCTTCAGCTGAAAACTTGTAAACCTGTAAGAATACCGGAGATAATAGTTTCAAATAAGAAGATGTATATAAATGCAGGTTCCAACTACACACATCCTCTCTCTTTCTCTAATAATACATATTGGAACTGAACCAAACCAAAGATACTCAGAACTAAAGACAAAGGTTTCATACTCTTATATAAAGAGCTAGGTTCTCCGGTCTCCAGGGAAGCAAGTCATAAAATTAACTAATCAGATATAGAAGCTTTTCTGCTTATAATTGCCTCATTTATTCCTCCTAAGCTTTGTTCTTTAGACGGGTATGTTTCTAACTGTGTGGTATACCGGATGTTTTGTGTACTATTAACTTATTCTTTCAAAACAAAACCTGCCTCTTTCTAAGTCCCATCTATGCCAGTTTCTTTTCCTTTTTTTTTTCTGAGTGAGCTTCGTTCAGTGAATATATACATTCTTTTCTTCTCTTAACTTATAGTCAAATAAAAGTTAAGAAAGTTTCTTCTGCTGTATCCCAGAAGTCCTTCAAGATTGTATTCAGCATTTCTTACAAATGTGTATATAGCACGCTTTCTTTAATGCTGAGCCCTTATAAATGCATTGTATCTAAAAAGAGAATGTATTTACATAGGGCCTTTACTATCAAAACTAACAAAAATGATAACAAATACCTGTAGTTAGCAATAGATAAGGAATGGTGAAATGAGGTCATCAATTTGTTATTTAGCTGCCAATACCTAATGATATATTTTGAAACTTGGTCAGATCTTTTTAGTAACGGATGCATGAGTTGATAATTTTCCTTTTTAAAAATGTCAACTGTAACATTGTGAGGAACATCAGTTCATCTGATTATTTTTTTCTAAGGGGAGGCTGAAAGGTGCATTAAGTAATATTTTCTTTTACCTCAGTCTTCCTGTCCTCCAGTGTTGTACATAAGACAAGAAAAAAAGTGACATTTTTGTGATGTTTCCTGTTATCCCTCTTCAGAAATGTTCTAGAGTAATATTTCATATAGAGGGGTGGTTTATAGTGAATTGAAGGTTCATGAATGGGTTGGTGGGATGCAAGCATCCCCATTGACAGATGTTCCGGAGGAACTTCTGTGGTAAGACATCCTTTCCAGATTTTTTTTTGCTTTCTGTTACTGGATCCAATTAATCAACATTTCGATTAGGAGGGCAGGTTTTCCTGTGTTATATTTTTTTACCCAGCTTTGTTGTGACCAATGCCCTGTAAATATTAAAAGCAAACTCAGGAAATGTGTCTGACATCTCTTTTTCAGGAAGTGTAAGCTTGCATAACTTTAATACGGGTTTGGTTATGTTGCTTTTTTGTCTTTAAAAGGTAACAGACTCCCCAGCAGATGTAGCAGAAAGAGCAGACAGAATTATTACCATGCTGCCTTCAAGTCCCAATGCAAAAGAAGTTTACACAGGAGCAAATGGAATTCTAAAGTAAGAATTTTTTGCAGTTTGGAGCATTCAGAGTCCTGCTCATGGCTGTATTACATTGTTTGTCCAATGATTGCTGTTGCTGTGACTCTTGTTGTGCCTTCAGGGCACGTCATGTTTTCCTCTGCTTTGTCACTATTGATATTTCTAATTACATGAGTTCTCTTAATCTGTGTTTGCATTTGAATGGCTTTTAGCTAAACTCTTCATTTATTTTCAGTAGAATAATAGCTCGTCTGAATTTGAGGCAATTTAACTATTATCTACCTTCTCAGTTGCATGTTTCTTTTACTGTACTTGTACTACAGACAAGTATAACTAGAATATTTGCTGGCAAAAATTATTTGCTTCAATACTTCTTTCTTTAACTTCAAATTCTGTAAATTAAGTGTTCTGAAGAGATGTCATTTTCTCTCATGGTATTAAGGTGCATTAACATGGAACACCTGACAAGGCTTTATTGTTTTATACTCCTATTGCCTGTTTATTACACAAGAAATTATCAGAAGAGTTTGTTTAATGCAAAACTGTTATTTAACTTTTGTGGAGAGATTTCCACTGAGCATAAAATCCACAGTTAGTGGAATTCTAATACTCACAGTTTTTGGACTTTTCAAATTAAAAAATAAATAGTATTTGAAAGGTTTTTCTGGCCACATGTGCACTGCTCCTGGCAGGCTAATTAAGGCTACTCAGTACCTCTGAGGATTATGTAGGATCTCACAGCTATCCAGGTTAATAATGTAAAGGAAGAAACATACAGAAGACAGAAATACAGTAGATTGTGTAAAACTTATGATAGGCAATATTAAGGTGGACTGATAAAATGAAGTAGAAGAGGAGTATTTCTATTCTTCTTGTAATATCAGAAATAATAGCTGCTTCCTTCCCTTACTGTCCATAGTTAATTCCTCACAAAGTAGGACTGAGCAGCAGATCTAAGTATCCATAACTTAGACTCTTCAGGGAAGGGTAATTGGATTAGCCCCACAATGCTGGGCAAGCAGCTGCAGGAGAATTGTATCCAGGATGGCAGTGCTTTGAAGACTTTGCAGTACTTACTGATATAATACAGCCAGTTAATCTTTTGAGGACCTAGATGTGGAAGAGCACGGGGGAGCAGGGAATGTGGAAAGCAGTCCTGTGTTGCTGCAGTTTTTCAGCCACTGTATTCAAGAGAAAAAAGCGTAATTTGACAGTAGTGGTTAATTGTCACACTAGAGTGACCTGGTCCTTGGTGACTGGTTTGACTTTGATCATATTCTGAAGAAGTCAGTTTCTTTATCTACTGAAGAAAACACTGAGGCTCTGAGTGTTTAAAGGTTAACTTTCTCATCCTGTTGTGTTACCAAGGAACTGCTCCTTATTCCGAATGTTAGGGGAGATGATGTAGCTCTGTATCTACCACAGTGGTTTTCATTTACATGTGTTCAGACTAACTGCAGCAGCTCATCCCGCCTGTGAAAAAGGACAAGTTCTGCCTAGTATGTGGCACTGTTTGAAGCAGCAGTAGAGCCCACGGTTGTATGTGTGTATTCAGAGACTATTTCCAGCAATCTAGGCAGTTTGATTCTGAGAAGTTCACTGTACTGTCAAGAGCACACAAGGTGCAGCGAAGCTCTTCATCTGTTATGCATAGCTTCAAATTACTTGCCTTTTTCTGACAAAAAAATTATGTTGTTTGATTTCATGGTGGTTGCTGGTCCAGTGGACATGAAGTCATACAATTGAATGGAAAGAGGGATAAAAATACAGTATTTTTATTATTGTTGAGGGCATTAGAAAATTTTACTTTAATTGCATTTTTTGAACACATATACAACTTTTTGTGTTCTACGGTTTGGGGTACAATTCTTCTGCCTAAATTTACTAGCTATCAATGGGGGAATTTAACGTTTTCCCCCCTGCTTCACTTTAGAACTGCAATGGGTTTTTGTGGTGTTAGTTGTGACCTTTATGTTGAATAAATTTTAGCAATGATTAAAAGAATGCAGTCAGGCTTTTCTGATGAGTACTTAAGATAATGTATATATATAGAAAGAAAACTATATTAGTATATATGAAATTTTAGGCTGTTTTACCATTTAGTTCAATTGCTTGCAGTACATCTTAGATGATCCTTATGTGATATACTGCTCAAACTAGATGATTTTGATGTCCTTTCCAACCCTAATCATTCTGTGATGCTATGGCAAGTTTTCCTAAGGCACCTTTTTTGTGTCATTTTTTTAATAATCATGTTTAGGAAGCATCTCCTTTCTTGTGTTCAGAGTTTATTGTGTTTGAGTCATTTAGAACTGCAGTATACATACTCAGCAGTGTACATACTGAGCAGATATTGCTCAGTAACGTTTAAAGCTTTCTGTTTATTAGTGTACCAAAAAGTGTCTGTGCATTTATCATGTTGAGGAAAGCCAGTGCCGTGATAATAGTTGCAGATGTCTTGTACAACAAATAGTTAACAATAAATCTTGATTTTAGGAAAGTGAAGAAAGGCTCATTGCTAATAGATTCCAGTACTATAGACCCTGCAGTTTCAAAAGAATTAGCCAAAGCAGTTGAAAAAATGGGAGCCGTTTTCATGGATGCCCCAGTTTCTGGAGGTAAGTCTTCATTAACAGTTTGCCTCTTACTGGACGTGTTGTCTCTGTTTGCAATTTCAGCCATCAATTTGTACCCCTGCTGGTAAAAGTTGCTTTTCTTTGCTACATGTACAGCATTTTTATTTTATTTTTATTTTTTTAAGAAATGCGTGTTATTGTAGAAATATTTTGAAGATAGAAGAATATGCTTTTGTGTTAGACCTGAGAAAACTGAGCTTTCATAGGATGTGGTACAGCGGTCCTTTTAATTTAACTTATTTTGTAAAGTTGTATTTTTATGCAGGTATTAACGTCTCTTCAGTCTCCATACATTTCTTTCTGTTAGGGAAAGACTGTTTAGTTACCATTAAGCAGTTCTGCTCCTTTTTCCGTTATTAACAAGGAAATAGTGAAGAGGGGGATGAAGGATTTCGTTGTCTGAAAAAAAAAAGAGAGCTTTCCTCTGGTTTTATAACAGTTGAAGAATGTGGGTGATACTTACATATTCTTGAAGTTGCTGATCACTGATCTCTGAGTATTTCATCTCTTGTAAGAAATAACATAGGGCAGAGAGGTCTTTTATTCTGTGGAGAGAGGAAAGCAGAAGCACCAAATTAATGTTTTGAAAACAGAACCATCATTGAATTCTTCTCTAAAACCCCTAGAATTAGAAGGTGAGGAAAACTCATTTTGTGTGGGAAAATCTTGGGGTATTTACAGTCCACTCCAAAATTTAATGTTAGTGGCATCATGAGAATTCTTCATTTTCCTGTATTTAATGAGGTAATTCAGATAGTTGTGCCTGAAAGAGGATAAAAATGTGAAGGGTGAGAGAGAATGTAGCCTTACAGAATTTATAAGAGGTATGATGCACAAGCTAGAAAGAGCATAGCCTGAATTTCAGGTCATGAAGATGAGTGTGGGTGAGGAGCAAAAACTAACCATCTTTTTAATTTTCAACTGAAAACTCAGGCAGGATTTGGCTACACACTAGAAGCCAAAATTTTCATTCAAATTCTAATGTGGACAGAAAGTTGGAAGATTAAGTAGGCAATATTGAAAAAGATAATGGGGAAGACAAGATTCTTGCTTCTCAGACAAACTATTAATCCTTTTTTTTTATATAAAATTAGATAACTTGTCAGCCTGGGAATAAAAACCATGGGAAAAAAAGTATGTTGTGGGCTGATTATATATATCTGTCTGATCCTTTTCTAAACACAGCATGGCCTTCTACTTATCATTTGGGCAATTCTGACATCTTCCATGTGGTTCTTTTCAGTCCCTTTCCTCCAAAATGTTGTTTACCCAAGGGACTTATTTACCTTTTAAAAATCTCTGTATTTGGTTTTTAACTGTGGGGCTTTAAGGCTGCTATAACTACAAAGAATGAAAGAAAACTTTGATTCCAAACAATCCTACCTGTCTTTGGGGTTTTGTTTCTTGAGAAAATGGTGATGTTGAAGCTGAGTTTAATATACAGTGGACTGGTCTGAATACAAATTGCCCTTTTGGCATTAGTGGTTTATCTGAATACAAGTTATTTGGTGTTCAGTGTCAGTTACAGATGGAGTGATATTCTGAAGGAGGGGAAAGAACTGAGATTTAGCTTTCTAGTACATCATACATTTGTGAATGCCAAGGAGCGCTCTGTACAAATCGTGTTTGAAGTGGGCAGTTGCTAGAAATGTGGAGAAGTTAAGTGTATTGGAAAGAGATTTTATGTTATGCTTTCCTATTTCCATCTTTCAGGACCTAACACATTAAGTCTTTGGGGTGTTTTTGAATGTCCTGACTGGATTGTTGGCCTTCAGACAAAACACTAAACGGAGAAGTATGCTCAGCTCTCTAGAAATTGGCAGGCATTATTCTGTTGCTGTAGACTTGGCAGGAGTGTGAGGGAGGGCGTTTGTGGGATGCAGTGAGGAGGAAGAGAAAACAGCATGCCTGAGCTGTTGTCTTCAGATCTGTCTGTTTACTAGCTGTTATTGGCAGACAATTCGACTTGTGTTTTTAGGTATTTGGGTGTTGCCTGATGGACGCTCATGTTCATCTGCACTGTGAACAAGTTATTTCTCAAACTAAATAATATTTTGAATATTGCTTGGGCTATAAACCTTATGGAGAAATAGTGGGGATTTTAATCCTGTCTTGATATTGCAAACAATCTATCTTAAGGCCTAGTGTTAGTGCCAGATTTTAGTGGCTTGTTTGCAGCCCTTAGCCCTGAAAGATTCTTTCCCCTGATCTTTTTCAGATGGCCTGTGCACCAATGTGCTAGAGACATCTTCTTCATATGATTCGTCTGCAGCTTTTAGTTGCAGCTTACAGTCAGGACGCATTAGTGGAAATTGATGCACCAAGTTATTTTGCATTAACTGACTTTGGAAAATACTTCTTATCCCTGTAGTTGCATGCAGATTATGCTGCTAATGCTGCCTAGAGATAGCAATCGGTTTACCTGGGGATTAGGATCTCTTGCAGGTCCACATGAGAAAGTTGTGTCACAGTTCCCAGTGCTGCCCTGATTTGTGAGCTTTGTGAGCATATAACAAATGAGGAAACTTGTTCAAAATCTGTGGATTTAGGTTTTTGTTGTTGTTTTGGTTGGTTGGTTGGTTGGTTGTTTTTTTAAATCTGAAGGAGTGTATCTTTTTGCAAAGATTGGATTCTGCATCTTTGTATGTATAAACAGCTTTTAAAGCACACATTATCACAGAATCATATTTAAAACTGACTTCTCCTGGTGGTGAAGATACTACTGGTTGAATAAAGGATCTAAATTTAGCCTTCAAGAATTGTGTTGAGTTTGTCCTTCCACTGATTTAACTGACAGTATGATACAGATTCCCACCTTGCAATCCAGAGCAAGCTTTGCTAGTGTTTTCACTGATGTTACTGTAACATTTCTGTCTTTAATTCAGTATACAAAACGTGCATTGTCTAAAGTACAGTTGGTGAAATGGCTTTTTTATTCCTGATGTGATACTTTCTTCATTGTAAGCATCATTAGTGTTCAGATACTACCTTTTTAACATTTTTCCCTTCCACTGACTCTTGAAATTACATCAGCTCCTCTTAGGCTCAAAATACATTGTACTGTATTCTACTGGAGCTTCACAAAAAGGTGTGACAGCTTGATTTACTTTTCTGGTTTCGTAGGTATAGATAAACTGTTTTCAATTCTTTTGTAAGTGCAGTTCTTTAGATCCAATAATGAAACTTACATAGATCTTTCCTCTCATTGTTTACTTTATCCAATAAAAAAATCAGACTGCTAATTGTTAGTAACAGCTGTCATGCAGAGAACTGGAATCATGCTACAATGATAATAAACAGTAGAATGAAACATTACTTTTGTAAGAATCATGGCTTGGAGCTGGTTAGATAAGGTTGGAGTTTCTATTGCAGCTGTCATTTCAAACTGTTTGATCTCATAGTACTACTTCCATAAGCTCCAGCTAGCCATTAAGTGATAGAAAGAACATTAGTAGTAGCACTCGCAAATTGAGATTTCAGCTCTCTGGTAATGTAAAGTAAAATGTGAGTCCTTGAAGGGCAAATTGCAGATTTATCCCCTGTATGACCAGATATGTACTTAATATGGAGCAAAGAAAAATAATGTTTATAAATACTGTGAAAATCTTCTATTTCATTTCAAAGAGCAATATATTTCAATATTCCAGCCTTTTTATTAAAAATAAAAGAGGGCACCTATTCAGAACTGAGAAGTGAATGTATTTCAGTGGCATCATCACACCGGTAGCAGATTAAATAGGCCAAACGGTAAATGGTGAATGTGATTCTCTTACTTGAACATTGAACGTTTACTGCAGTGTCTTTTCAAAGGGAAGCAGAAGAGGGGGTCTTGAAGAAAAGTTTACACTACGTATATGCACACCAGTGCTTGCAAAGATGATTTGAAAGATGCTTTCAGACTAGACTAAATAATAAAAATAGTAATTAGTAGTTTAAATGTTGGATCTCTTAGCTTGTAAATTCCGTTGTAATAAGGAGGCATCACTGATGTGTTTGCCAGATGTTTTGTTTAGTTTTGGCTTTTTGACCTGCTAATTCAGTGACTGGAATATCTGTTAGGATCCTTGGAACACTGTCACGATGAAACAGGTTTATGACTTTGGAACTAATAATTCTGACCTATCACCCTCGATGGCAGGTGTTCCTGTTGGTGAGGAAAAGATCTAATGGCATAGCAGTATTTGCTCCATTGTTATTTCTTTATTTATGCTTTTATGCTTTCTTTCTAAAGCCTTAATGCGTGTACTCAGAATGGCCGCAATGTTCTCTGTGCTCCTGGTACTGAGCATATAATTTTTGCATCATGTCTTCTTCAGCTCTTCCTCAGCCATTACACATCTTGCCTAATCTTTTCTTTCCTGACATGTTTCTTAATTTCTGTGTGTTCATTTTTTCTGAGTATATCTGATCTGATTAATGTTTTGCAAAGTTGGTGATGTGGGTATGGTGGTAGAAATTACAATGTGCAACCTTAATGTTAAAGATCATATGAAAAATATTGTTGAGTTATTATGAAATTTAAATGAGGTAAAAGTATTGCAGGAAGTAACTGATAAAAAAAAAACGGGAGAATCAAGTGAAATGAGGACAAAGAAATATTTTGACATCTGAGATGCTTAAAAACCTTCTGATTCCTAATAACTTACGTTTTAACCTCTTTAATAATACTTATGTTTGTCAGAATTAAACTTGTTTAATAGACCTATTTTGTTGGAGAGAAGATAGAAAGGAATTAAGATCTTGAAAATGTTACACATTTGATGAGGATGCAAAAGGTAGGAGGAGGCATGAAGAATAAACAGATTTATTGAGAGTATCATCTAAAAGTGTTCACTGAGGTGGAGACAATTATCCTACTATGACTAAAAGGGTGAAATGACTGATTTTATTAAAGTATAGTGTATTTTTTGGCTGTGCAATTGTGTGTAGTCTGGCCAACTAGTGACCGATGTGTAGGAAATATATCTGTCTCCATTTATTCA